CGCATAGCCGTTCCTTTTCCCAATTCACGGTAAAGCTGTAACTTTTATTACATCGCAAGATACTACTAACTTGTGCTTGAGTAGGCCTCGAAAACATCATTAGATCTTTATTTAAAACAACTCTGTGCCACTCTGGATGGTTGGTGTTGTGTTTAGGCGCCAACGTACAGTCCAGCTTGGATGAGAAAATCTTTTGGAATACATCTAATGTAAGTGTGGCAAATTAAACCATCATGTCTACATCATCTTAAGCGATTCATGGCCCACTGATGAGTTTGAAGACTATTGCCTTGAAAGTCTTGCCACACTCACCCAGAGTTCGAGCCCTGCTGAGGCAGCTGATGAGGGGCATGGCAAAAATCAAGTTTCCTCTGCAACACATCGCCTTTAGGTTTCCTGTCTGTGTATGAAGAAAAACTGAGTTTTGACGATCATACAGGATCATACGCTAGTCTATTTACATAAAGACAAGTTGGGAACACATCCTGTCCCCTTTCTGAATCACTTTCAATCGCTTGAATGCAACTAACCAAATAATGGAATGCTTCATTAAGGTCACACGGTGAGGTTTAAGAAGTACGTAGGATCTCAGCTGACCACTTTGCTTGATTCTGTATTCTTAATGATTATTCGCAAATACTGGTTACTGGCATGACGGACGAAAGTTCAGCCAATCTACGAATCCCTTCCACTTGCTATGCCAGCATCAATCGCTATCAATTTAGGACAAAAATCACCTACTTCTCAATCTGGCATACTTCGCCAATAATTTGTGGGTGCTGCCTAAGACCAGCATCATTGCCCGAAAGGCTCTACAGAGGCTTGCTCACTTATTCAGGTAAATGTTGTAATCCCTTTCTTCGGCAGTTCCACCTTATTTCAGCTCCATTGCCCCTCCGAAATGTCTTCTGCTTCAATCGCCGTCCCTCTCATCTTCATGCTTGCTCTTGAGGATCTTTTTTACTTTTGCTCCTTTTGTCTGCCCTTCAATTTGCGTTCCCATACTCCTCCCTCCTTTACCTTCTCAGGCCGGTGAGTGTTGCTGTCCCATTTCCAAATGACAAGACTGTCACCCAGGCCACTCGAGTCTACCAGGCAACCAAAGTTGAAGAGCTCTTGTGTCATTTTCCGCCTTTGATGCCTCCGTCGTCAGTGGAGCGGGCATCGACAGGCCGGCTCAATAGATTCGAGGGGTGAGAGGCGGTGCCAACCGTGCGTGTTCACTGGCTCGCCATCCATCAGACGGTATCCGAGACTTTGCAAGTGTCCACCCGCGCACGGCACCCTTCGACACGTCCTCCACTCATCACCAGCCTCGCCATCACCGATTGCGCCACATTCTTCCTCTGTACCCAAGCCCCGACACATTATGGTCAGTGACAGTACCCCGACTGCATCGGTATCCTTTCCCTTATGCCTACGCCCTAACAGCCATTCTGTCACCTACGCGTTCCGATTTGTCAAGGCAACCAGCCGAATAGTCCAGTCTCCATGCCCCAATACTACATGATTTGGGAATCGTCACTCTCCTTCACTTTCTACGCATGCATCTGTCCAGGCATGAAGTGTGGCGAGGACTGGCAGAGTGTGTGAGTATCTCGAGTCTTTTGATGTCTCCTCTCGTTCATCTGCCCCCTTCGGGCCACCTGCGAGCAAAGAAGCATTGCAGTAACAAAAGCGAGGGCTAAGAGGTCCCTGAAGGTTGGGGAGAGGACAAGGAGACTGGACATAAATGCGAAGCATGTGAATACAGGCAAGCTCGTAGTATCAGCTCGGATTTTTTATTTTACCTTAGTGCATACTACTCTAGAGGACAGCTTCAATCAACAGGAAACTGAGCGGTTCTAGACAAACGAAAATTAAAAGTATGAAGACCAAGATGGTGTGTAATGA